GTTAGTTATAATAGCTCTAGCTATTCTTTTCTAATAGTTTAGTTAGTAGTTTCTAAGCTATCTAATTATAAAGTTAACTTATATAGTTAAGTTAGTTAAAGTAGAGTTACTCTTAAAGAAGCGTTTATACGCTTTAGCCTAGCTATTAAGTTATACTTTATTCTTACTTTTAAAATACATTAAAGAGTTAGATTTTAGAAGTAGAATCTTAAAAGGTCTAGTCTAGTATAAAGTACTCTTAGTAAGCGTAGCTAGAGCTAGTATTAGTATAGATAGTAATAAAGTCTAAAGATTACTACTAGTAAGTATAGTCTTAAGAGCCTTATATTAAGTGTATAGAGTAGTAATCTTTATACACTATTTAGCTTCTAATAAAAGCTATTCTTTTTATTTAAGTTCTTACTAGAAAGTTAATAGTATTAGTTTATTAATAAGTATTCTCTTCTTAACTAGTAGTATTTCTATAGTAGATATTAGAGCTTATAATTTCTCTTTAGTAGTAGTTAGAGCTAATAGAGTATTAGCTAGCCTAGACTAAGTCTAGAAAGCTATATTTTCTACTACGCTATATAATTATAATAAAACTATATTTATAGTATTACTAATAGTTATAGATAGAGGTTTATATTATAAAAGTAGAATAGGTTAATATAGAATTATATAAACGTAAACCTCTACTAAGTAATCTAGATAGAGCTATTGCTTATAAAGAGTTTCTCTAGATTTCTATACTAGTAGAGCCTACGCTTACGTAGGCTAGCGTAGTCTAGAGAGATTTAGAGAGATCTAGAGTAGTTTATAACTAAGTAGTTATAATATAGTACCTTAATAATAATAATAACGTACTTATAAGAGGTAATAGTAATAGAGGCTTCTCTAAAGAACTTAGAGAACTTAGAGGTAGTAATAGGCAAGCTATAAGGCTATAGAAATATTAAAATATCTCTAATCTAAAAGTTAAAGTAGAAATAAGCTTTCTAAAGTAGATACTAATAGTAATAATAAGAAAGTCTTAGCTATAGAAATCTTAGCTAAAAGAGTAAAATGTAGAGCGTAGTATAATATTAAACTAGAGCCTCTCTATTAGCTATAGAACTAGATAGGTAACTATAGTACTACGTGTGTAAACTCTAGGTCTAGAATAATATTAAACTATAGTGTTATAAATCTAAAGATAATTACGTAGTTAAAATATAGTTTATCTCTAGACTACTATATATAGTATTTATATAAAAGGTCTATATCTACTTTTTATAAACTTATTCTCTTTTTTATTCTATATCTTTATCTACTTCTTAAAACTCTTCTTAAAAGCTTAATAACTATAACTATAACTATAATAATAAAAATAATAATAATATTATAATAGTCTATTAATATATTAGTTACTCTTACTTCTATTATTACGTCTAATAATATAGGTATATAGTGTCTAGCTCTTAAGTAGAGGTAGGTATAGCTATAGGCCTCTATAAAGAATTAGAAGATCTTCTAAAATAGCTTTCTTTCTATACTAGTTAATCTATAGAATACCTAGATAGTATTAGATATAGTAAGAGATATAGGCCTAGCGCAAAGCTTTAATTCTAAGAATTCTACTATAATAGCTATAATTAACTTAATTAATAGTAAGCTTATAGTCTTAACTATAGTAAGTATTTATAGCTAAACGTACTATAGTAACTACTTATCTAAAGTTTACGTAATTATAACTAATTAGTTTAGAAAGCTTAGAACGCTACTTACTAACTTATAATAGTAAAGCTATATACTAAGCTTCTATAAGAGAAACTTTCTAAAGAAAGTAAAAGACACTAAGACTCTTAGCTAGAAGTAGGTAGTGCTACTATATATAAGTAAGGTATTAGATATAGACTTAAAGGCAAAATAGATTACTACTATAGTCTAGCTAGTAAGATAGTAGAGAAATAACTTTAGAAATAACCTAAGCGTTATTATAAAGTTTAGACACCTACTATAAAAGAGCTAAAGACTTATTAGTATAGATAGAGAATAAGTAGGTAAGTAAGTAGGTAATAGTAAATATAGCTAATATAGCTAGGCTTAGGTATAATTATATATAAAATATAGGTTACTAGTAATTATATAAGTAATTATATAGATATTATATAGGTATTTTAGATTAGTTTAGAGGCTTTATACTAGCGTTAGACTTACTAAGTTACTTTTTAGCGTTAGTAGTTGCGTAAAGCGCGCTTTAATACTACTAGTTAATAATCTAGATAGCTATTAGTATTATGTTATAAATATAAAGTAGTTAGCGCGTTGTAATTACGCGCATAGTAATTATTATATTAGTAGTATAGTTATAAGTATTATAAGTTACAAATCTAGGCTTACGTTAGAGATTTTTTAAGTTTAAATTTAGAGTCTAATATAGTAACGCGTTATTACGTAATTACGTAATTATATAATCTTAGAAATAGTATACTATAGGCTCTGTTTCTTAGGCCTAGAGAGAACTTAACGTAGTTTACTAACGCCTTAGATATAGTAAGTTAGACTTTAATATCTTAAATATAGAAAAAATAACGTAAGTATATCTTAAAGTATCTTACTTAATAAATATTAAGATAAGGTTGTACTTAACGTATATAAGTAGATATTACCTTTATTTTACTATAGTCTTAGATCTATACTTATTATATTTAACTAGGTATATACACTACTTATATTTAAATACTAAAATAGTCTCTATACTACTAATAATAATATTAACTACTAACTTATTATATTATATATTTATTTTAACTATATCTAGCTTAATTATATTAAGAATTACTATCTAAAAATAGATAAACTCTCTTTCTTAGAGCCTAGTAATTCTAGAGCTATACTAGAGTAATAGTATACTCTACTACTATCTTTCTAAGAGTTAAGCTATTTCTTACTACTAATGTTACTTTATAGCTTAGACATTATAAAAAGCTAATTATTAACTATAGTTTAAGTTCTAAAGTTCTTTCTAAGTAATTTAAAGGTATAGCCTTTCTATATTAGCTATATTTTACTCTACTTCGCTAACTTCTCTAGCTCTTATATAATATTCTAGCGCTTTTAGAGTTAAGCTTAAGTAACACTAAGAAGCTTTATCTTAAATTAGTATATTACTATTTCTATAATAGTAATAAGAATAATATAGGCTATAATAGAGATAATAAGAGTAATAGAATTAATTATAAGAAATAAAAGAGAATAGATAGAAACACTAGTAAGTCTAAGAAGAAAAGTACTAAAAGTCTATTTATAACTATTCTTAAGCTAAAGTCTTTATAACTCTTAGTTAAGGTTACTAAATATATACAAATTTATAGTATAAACGCGTAGAGGTTTCTCTAAGTTAATTTATTATAATATAAGATTATTAACTCTATTAACTCTTAGCCTAGAGGCTATACTAATACTTTTCTTACTTATTATAAGTATATAAAGACTCTTTACTAGCGTATAGGTATTAATTATATAATTAGTCTATTTAAGTATCTTCTATAGCACAACGTTATTAAGCTATACTATTCTAACTACTTAGGTTATTATATTAGCAATTTTATAAAAGCTAATATTATAGACTTACTTAAGTCTATACAAAGTAATAATTAGCTATATAATCTTTCTATTAATATTATTAAAGATAATATTAAGAAGTAGTGTAAAATAGGCGTAAAGATTAATATTCTAGTATTTATATTTAGAGAGAGCTATATCTTCTTTTTTCTTAATATTCTTAGCTAAAACTTTATACTTAATAAGCTAAAAGCTTCTAGTAAGTACTATAATTATACTATTAAGTACCTTTAGAATAATCTTAAGCTTAGTAAACTACTAAACTCTTTTATATCTATAGTAGAGTTAGCTAAGCATATCTAGAGTTATCTAATCTAGCTCTTTTAGGTAGCTCTTTACAGAAGAATAATAAAAAATAGTACTAGAAACTAATAATAATAAAAACGTTAATAGTAGGTAAATAAGAAGAAGAATAAAGTAGTAGTAGTAGTAGTAGTAGTAGTAGTAGTAGTCTATATCTATAATATAATATAGCTTACCTTTTACTTATCTAAAAATACTATAGTACTGTAATAACGCAGAGTAAGATAAGCTACTTACAACTTCTATAATATTAATAACCTTAATAAAAAGATACTCTTATAAATAAGAGAAATTATAAGTATAATATACTATTATCTAAAAATAGTTACTTTGTATAGCTAAATTAGGCTTTTAGTCGAGGCGACGAACATGATGTAATGCCGCGCCCTGCATCGCGGAATCTGATCCGTGGCTGCACTAGCCACGTCACGTGAAGCTCTAGCCACTCGCAAGGCTAAATTGCCCGGGCGATCACCTGGGCACCTTTGGGCGGCCTTCCTGTCATGCCGTGTCTTCGCATCGTTCCACTTTACGACGCGACACTCTCTTGAGCCGCTTGCAGAGCCGGACTACCCGCAGACCACTGCTATTTGAGGCACAGCCCTGTCTTTTCTTGTTTAGAGTCGGCAACAGCGTTGATCCCGACGTAACCCGCAACCAGCTTCCTCGTCTCATTTCAACATATTGCGGACATGACTTCCTACGAGAAACCCAAGCAGTATACCTATCTTTTCAAATGTACTGCGGTTGGGGCTTGCCAGATAATATGTCTACGCGCTAAGGCTTTGACACCCCGGCTCCAAGGCGTCCACAGGATCTCGCGCACTCTCGCTTCGATCCTTCTGGCACAGTAAGGCGCCCGACAAACGCTTTGAGAGGCTTAGCGACGCTTCAGTTGCCCCTGACTTAATCCCAAAAACGGGAAAAACGGGAAGGCTGCAGGCTGTGAGAAGGCGGAGTACCAATGCAGCATGCAGTTGTTATTACTGAAATACTCTTGAGGTCGCCGCGAACCGTGTCTCGCGTCTTACCGTCAGTCGAACGCCAACTCACCTCCCATTGACTTCGGAAATACAACGTGGGGACTTGATCAGCACCAACACCCTTTTGCCATGGCACCCAGACGCAGCGGCGGCGGCGGCACCGGATACAGCAATGCTTCATGCCCCGACGCCTTTAATACACCGTACAGTCAAGCCGCGCTTGCATTTGTGGTGCTGTTCCTGGTTCTGTACACGGGTATTTTCATATCAACGTTCTTTATCCGCAAGAAGAGCGGTGCCGGAAAGAAGTTGATTGGTGTACCTTTTGTTGTAGCCCTGTTCCTTCAAGTAATGTAAGGACAAAGTGCATTTTGCAGGCTTTAGTAGTGCTAACATGCTCCAGCACGCGTATTTTAGGTCTCGTAAGCCAAGTCATGTCACAGTGCGACAACATCGACTACGTTGATTATTGGAATATCAACGTTGCCTCCGCCATCATGAGCGGTTTGGCCAATGCTGCGCTGCTGTTCGTGTTTGTCTACGTCCTGAACTCCATGCTGCACAAGCAATTTGGCAACATGTCATCTGGTTCCAAGACCGTACTTCTGATTACTATTGGCGTTGCGTTTGCTATCATCCTAGCAGACGTTAGCATGTTTGCCTACGTCGCATTGGCGGACAACTCCTTGGAATCCAACTGGGACTTTGCGTTACTAGTTTCAAATGGTCTCGATCTTGCCTACGACATCGTATGGATGATCGTTGTTATTATTTCGGCGGCTATGTCTCTGTCAAACGTTTCGGCATTGAGATCAAGACGCTTACCCGGAGGTGTAAGTCCATGGCAGCTACTATCTACTGGTACATATGCTAACAGCCCCAGGACCTCTTCGGCTGGGTTACCGCCCTCTATGTTACCCTATTCGTGAACGCATCATTGGGAGTAGTCTACTCATCCAGTATCTACTGGCCCGTAACACCTTCTCTTGGCGCATCGCTGGCCTTGTCTTACATCATCGGCTTAGTCAAATGTTTGGCTTTTATAACGCTGCTGGGCATCGCCAAACACGTCTCCTGGAACCAGACGATCGAGAAGACCGAACAAACGTATGCGCCCGTTACGCAGCAGCAGGTCACGTACGGCTATGGCAATGGGCAACAGGATTACTACCAGCAGACACCCGAACTTGTACATGTCAAGTAGGTGGAGGGTAGCTGAGGGCGCTCGATGAAGTCACACGCCATTCCTACATTTTTCTTGCATTGCCATGCTGTTTCGCTATATACCCAGAGCTTAGCTTCAGAACATGATGTCTATACCATTCACATTCTGCATGATGCGCCAGACTGACCTTACTCTTTCAAAGTTCCTGCACTGTATGGTCTCCTAACTCTTCTGCTTGTTCGTCCTGCAGCCGGTGTATTATTGTGCGAAGCTCGGCCGCGATAAAACCGAAGAGAGCTGCTTGCCCATTCATTCTTTGGTGCACGTGTAATTGTCAAGGTATAATTTGTGGAAATGAAGAGGAGCTTGTCTTTTTCTTCAGTCGAGCGGTGTGAGATAGTGATTCGATGCGGAGGCGCGGAACTGAGGAATCGAAACAGGCAGGCACATCTGAGGGCCACATGCACCTACACTGGACCCAAGCACTACGTAGGACACCTATCATGTCTGTACGCGAAACAATTGTCGCATATCTTTGCCTGCATTGCTCACAGCGCTGTACAGCATCGCGTGTGCGACGGCATCCTCATTTGCTCTAATTCCCATGGCAAGATGTTCACAGCATGCGGCTGCGCCTCAGCCGCAGCGGGTCATGCAGGCACTCAGCCTTCTTGCGAAGGCTGCTTTCCTTCTCAATCCGCCCTTATCTTCGCGCTCAATCCTAGCACCATTGCAATGCAAAACTGTCGAACGGACAAGTAATGCGCACGCAGCAAGTATCCTACGATGGCCGAAGTCATAGGCCTCGCAGCTAGCATCATCCAGATCGCAGGCGCTGGTGCCAAGCTCAGCGTCGCATTGTACAACTTCACGAACTCAGCCGCGCGGGCAGACCAAGACGTCAAGGACATTGCCGACGATGTAGAGCTCACATCGAATGCGCTCGAAAGCGTTGGCAGGGTGTTTGAGTCCGAGGAGGCCGGATCCATCGTGTCGAAGAAGGCTATCCAGGACGCTAACAACATCATCAAAAAGTGCCAAAGCGTCTTCGACGAAGTATCAGAGATAGTAGAGAAGAGGAGAAAGACTGCAAAGGATGGAAAGAAAAGCTTGAGCGCGATGGGTAAGCTGGCCTGGCCGATGAAGGAACAGCGGGTCGAATTGAACCGAAGGAGGCTCGAGAGTTTGAAGAACAGTCTTGTGCTTTTGCTACATGTTCTGCAATTGGCCCAAGGCCAGGCGCGAGGGTGAGACAAGATAGCACACTGCCATGCGCGCAATACAGCTGACAATAGCGATAGAAGAATGGAGAAAGGTGTCTTGGAAGAAGAGCGTGACAAGATCCGCGAGTTGCACCAACGACAGCAGGACTCACTCAAAAGTCTGCAAGCCCTCGAGAATAGATTCTGCCATGTCGCACTCGGTGACGAAGAGACTCTCCGAAGATCAAGCATCGCCTCCCGTGTTCCAACCTTGGAGCTTATGACCAGCGCTCCCGTCATGGAGCTTCCTCCGCTAGAGAAGCGCTCAAAGCCTCAGAAAGACACCATTACCATCGACCTTTCAACCGCAGATGATTCAGACACTTCTGATAGCGACGCTACGATGTCAGGTGATGACAATGAGGAGCAGATCTCGACCGAAGAACTGGCAAAAGCAGCGGACCATGTGAAGAAACTTCTGAAGCGCATCACAATGCTACAAAAGAACTTCGATGTCGACAAGAAGAAACATCGGAAGCGACACGTGCACAAGATGTATCAACGCTTCTGCCGAAAGTTCGAATCAGGTATCAAGCTTCCGTCAGCTGCTGACTTTGGAAAGGTTTCTCCATTCATCGACTTCAATATGGACGATGACGGAGGCCAATTGGAGAGCTTTGACTTTGACAGCTTTCTTCACGTTCAGGATAAGGACACGCAGTTTCCATTGGATGATTTCTATTTCAGCCAAGAGCAGCGTTCAGTGCCTCAGCAAACAACCAATCTCGATGCCCTATCGTCGACGCAGAGCCCACAGCACCCGCCTCTTCTGTCCCATGAATCTGTGGAAACGGTTCCATCATTTGATGCGCAAACGCCCCATAATCCTCCAGTGCCGAGTGGAAGTACAGCCTCAGACTTTCCGTTGGATCTGTCTGGTCAGCAACAACGACCTAGTCTTGGTCAAGGACAGTCAGCACTGGCTCAGCAGCCTCCTGAAGCATTATCGCAGACGTGGGCGCAGATTCAGAGGCAGGCGCAATACATGGCTCAACAACAGGCTCAAGCGCAGCACCAACAAGCTCATTGGCAGCACCAACAAGCTCATTCGCAAGCTTCAATGCAGCCAATGTCAGGGATGGTTCAAAGCCTGCGTAGTCCTGCTATGCTCATGCTCAACAGGCCCATGCTACCACCAGTCTCTACTTCTAATCCTTCTATGCCTACTTACAGCAGACCTGTGATTCCTGAGATATCTCAGTCATCACAAAGCGGTGTCGAAAGCTCGCTGCATAACCAGTCTCCCACGCTGACCGCAGATTCGACACTCTTACCACAACCGCCGAGCCCTACCACTGCCCTGCGAGACTATCAATATCAGTTGATGTTCTTGGATTGTCGAAAAAGGAAAAGGAAACCACTTTTGGAACGAGAACAAGATGGCACCAGCCAATCGATGACGGATAATTCGATGACAGAAAATATCACTTCTCAGCCTGAAAGCAGTGCGAGACAAGATGCGCACGCATCTCCACGCGTGTCAGGTTGGCCGAGTGCAGGCTCTGGGAAGGTATGGGAACCGTACAATCTCAGGTTATCCTCTTCGAGTGGATATGCGAGGCTTCCTGCGCGACCCGACCTCTCTGTGCTTAGCAACCTGTCTCACCAAGCCCGCACGCCTTCGAACGCGTCCATGATAGACCCATACCCATCACGGTTGCCGGATGATGGAACGGAGCAGGACGATGGCCAGCGTTCGTCAAGGAAAAGACGGCGTTTGGTGAAAGATGAGGATGAGCCCTGTACCAAGGATGCTGCTGACCTAGTGTTGAAGCTCGAGGAGAATGAGGAGATGAGGGAGACCGAACCGGCCTCGAGTCCAGTGGACAGAGACATCGTCGACGTGCTACTCGATGAATGGACGGTACCCGTGTATTGACGGCTACATGCCCCTCAGTCTTGTTCCAAGACTGCGCAACGGCTTCACATAGTCGTATCATTCCAAAACTATCTGAGCCGTGACATTCAAGATGCACATTAACCGACTGCTCGTATACCCTCAGAGGATCGTTACTCCACCACCGTAAACTTCACTTCCCCTGCGCCCTCAAACTCGATTTTCGTACCCACCTCCAACCCTGCACTACTCCAAGAAGCAAGGTAGTTCATTACCTCATCTACCGTATCCTCTGTCCACCACCACGATCCGCCGAGATGGCAGAGTATATACTCCTTCCCAACCTCTAGCTCCAACCTACTCAAATTCCCGCCTCCGAAATCCAACTCTCGGTGCTCCGTATACGTTCCTTCGAATCGTATGAACTCGTGTCTTTCATTTTCGTAATGCTCGCGATATACATCTAGATAGGGTTCGAGCTTGCAGCGCGACGTTGCGTCGAGGATTGCCAAGTCTGATTGAAGAGACTTGACCCATGCGCGATCTGCGTGGACCGTGAAGGGACACGCGGCGTCCGTCGAGAACGTGAGCGTGAAAGCGAATCTTTTGATGGGAGAGGAGAGAGAGTATGTCGACGGTGCTGATAGAGAGACGGTGAGTTTAGGTGTCTTTGGTCGCGAACTTCGGGTCTCGAAGATGATTGTGTCGTTGCCGTTGGCGGCCTGCCAGGGTATAGTCGGTGTGGCTGGTGTAGGAAGTTCAGACGCAGATAGCAAACCGCCCGGGCTTCTTGGAAGAGAAGTCGAGGTATTCACCGCGCTGACTGGCCAATGCGAAATTGGGGTTGTCGGTTTGAAGCACAGTCTGTACTTCCTATCTGGTCGGAGAGCAGTAGTAATGAACTGCATTTCGCAGGATTTACTGGGCCTCCCTGTCGTAAAAATTACTTCGCTTTGGTCTTCACGAAAGAGAACTGGCTCTGTGCCTTGGCGCACGACTTCAACTTCCTCACCCGTCTCGTTGTCGAGACACTGAATAAATTGGCTGGAGTTCATGGGATGGTAAAGCCTCGAGCCTGCGAGACCATCTTGGAGGTATATAACTCCCTCTTTGAAATTGTACTCTGTGATGATGAGGACTATGAAGAAGACGGGATCGTTCGAGAGATAGCATGTTCTTGTAACGAGAAGCTCGGCTTCAACCCGCGGGCGAATATCGGTCATTTTGTCGATGTTGCGGGGTATCGGAATTACTACGGTCTTTCGATTGATTCCAACGTCATGTGTAACATGCGAGCAGAGCTTGGTTGTGATTCAGAAAGTGTTGCAGTTCTTGACTGTGCCCGTCGGCTGATGTACACCACCTGGGCACTGACGTCAGAGGTCTCATCACTTAGTACCAGTAGAGGACGCTTCCACGCAGCGTAATCAAATGAGCGATCATTAGGGCTTTCAAATCCAAATCCACTCTCTTCTCATCCTCTCACTTACCACCAGCCTACAGATCAACCCAACACTTAGTACATCTCTGCCTCGCCAAACCAAATGGCCTTTGTCCCTCCTCATCCTCCCAAGTCTCCGTATCAAACTCACTGACCACCCTCCCCTTAAACGGCTCTTCCACACCATCGCTCCAAAGATGCGTCACAGCATCCGCAATGCACTCAATCTGGATACCCCTAAACCCCATCAACTTGGCCTCGCGCCGCAGCCAACGCGCCGCGCCTGACGCAACACCCTCGCCCTCATAATCGTGGCGTGTAGACGTCGCATTGCGCATCAGCACCTGACCTGGTGCGGTAGCCTTCCACTCCGCTGGATCCCTCGGGTCGAGCTTCTGTAGAGTGCTGAAGAGCAGACCGAACTCTGGTATCGCTTCGTCTACCGGGCCCATCTTTGCGGGATCGAGAGGGACGAAGCCGTCGTACGACAACGCTATACTAACCATCGGAAAGTCCATTTGCCGGAGTAGTCTCAAGCCCTCTGCTTTCCGTCCTTGGGTTTGCTCCACGCTATTTTCCTCCGGTTCGTTGACATCCCAGAATAGCTTCCCGCCTGCCTCTTTCGCCTCTGCGGTTTTGAATTCGTATTCTGTGTCGAAGACGCCGTAGGACAGGCCAGAGTCGATTTGGTGGGCTACGAGGTACTCGAGCTTCTTGGCGCTTTCTAGTGTCCAGCGGCCGAGTGCTTTGTCGGGCCATATGTGCTGCCAGATGGCGGAGTGGAAACCGTGGCTGTGGGCTAGGATGGCGGTCGCCCAGAGCAGATCTTTGGGTTCTAGTTTACGGATCTCATAGCGGGGCTTTAGAGAGGAGGGGTTAGAGGGAGTAGGCGTCTTTGTGTTTGTTGCTGGTTTGGACATGTTCGCGTATGTGAAGGCGAGTGCCTATTGGGACGGTCTCGACTAGTAGGAGGCGGAGGGCTTAGTTTTGATGTCGATGAGGAAGTAGTTCCTGGTTCGCAGGAGGTGTATTGTGTCCACGCTGAGAGATGTTGAGCTTCGAATGCTAGCTAGCCTACGCACTCTTATAGAGAATGAGGCAAGAGCGACAATGTACGGATAACTAGTACGTGAGTATTCAATAACAGATAGTCCGGTGTGCAAGAAAGGCGCGATTAGAAATTGAAAGTTATGCGTGCGAGTGTGTTGGAGGGCGCACTTCATGCATCAAAAGGGCTCAAGCGGATGACCCACGAATTCAGCGCAAACTGGCCAGCAAGCTTGTAAACCCTATCCAAAGCTTCGCTTCTCGTCCAAGAATGGTCCATAATGCGGGTAACAAATTTTGCGTGCAGGCGCTCTTGTCCGCGTTAGGAGACCAGGATAGTACCAAGCTGCGAGGCTTACGCGCCTGAATGCAGTATGTTGAGCCGACCCACACATGTTCCTCGTATAAAGTACTATACATCAATATCCTTGTTGACCGCATGCCTTTAGCTAGGAATAGATTTGTAAAGGTCTCGGTTAGCGACAGATGTTGCCACTGTTAATGGTTTTGTAAGATCTGCAAAATTCGTCAAGAAAGTCTCTGTTCCGAATTAGTCATCAGATCCACGATACCCACGACAGTCAAGAGAAGTATGTTTCTTATTGCAGAGTGCAAGGCGCACAGGACGTTAGATTAGACCTTTACCCTCCTGCAATAGCGCAATTCCTCGCTCTTTTAACTTGAATTTCTGGATTTTCCCGCTCGCAGTCTTGGGGTAGTTGTCGACCCAAAAGACGTACTTCGGCACTAGTACATACAGTCAGCATAGTTCCTAGGCGGGCCCGAGGCTTCGAATTCGATGTTGTAGGAGCGCATGGACTTACCTAAATGGTGGCTCAATTTCTCCCTGACCCAGTTTCGCACCTCGTCCGTGGTCACGTTCCCATCATCGCCAGCATGCGTGACTATGAAGGCTGCGACAACCTCACCGTACCGCTCGTCGGGTAGACCCACCACACTAACCTCGCTGATAGCAGGATGAGCGAAGAGACAGTTCTCGACCTCTAGTGGATGGATGTTCTCGCCCCCCTTGATGATCAGATCTTTTATCCTGCCAGTAATCTTGATGTATCCTTCTTCGTCCATAGACGCCTCATCTCCGGTATGCATCCATAGCATACCGTCTTCGTCCGGTTGTAGAACTTCCTCTGTGCGTGCTGTATCACCCCAGTACCCTTTCATGAGGAGGTAGCCTGACACTGCGAGTTCGCCGCGTTGGCCTACGTCAAGTGTGCGCGACCAGTCTGACGGACTGACGACTTTGGCGCGAACATGTGGGAGAAGACGACCGACGCTGTCGATGCGCTTTTCGATCGGGTCGTCCGTGGTGGTCATGGCTGATACAGGAGAGGTCTCGGTCATGCCGTAACAGATGGTCAACTCAGTCAAGTTCAGGTTCTTGTGTAGCTTGCGCATGAGTTCCGAGGGTATAGCAGAGCCTGCTGCAATGCCGGTACGCAGATATTGAAAACCATCTTTGGGTACAGCACCATGAGCCAGCAGCTCCAGTTCAGCTACGAACATGGTGGGGACGCCATAGAGGGCTGTGCATTTGTATTCGCGAACGGCTTCAAGTGTGGCCAGGGCATTGAAGGCTTCGGTGGGAAATACGATGGCGCTACCGTGGGTAGCCGTGGCCATGTATCCCAGAATGCATCCAAAGCAACTACAAACAGTCAGTTGATGTTGACAGTAGATTGCTACAAGGACTTACTGGAACAATGGAGGCGGACAGCACACAACGTCGTCTGGCGTTAATAGCATCCTATCGCCGATGCTGTTTCCGTTGTTCAAAATACTCCTATGACTTAAGCACGCAGCTTTCGGCATGCTTGTAGTGCCAGACGTAAATTGGATATTGACGATGTCATCCGGATGCAGGCCTTGATCTTCGAACGCATTGTCCTGTGCGCCATCCTCGAATACGTGCTCGTATCTCTTTAGACTCCTATAGTCTCCCAGATCCACCCTGCCTTGCGCGTTATTCACCAGTATGACGTTCTTCAGCGACGGGACGAGTTCGGATTCGAGGGTCGAGCCGGCGAGATTGGGTATCAAGTGCGTGAGGAGCGAGATATTGGAGCGCGGGTCTTTACGCGGGAGGTTCGTTTCGGCTCCGATGACGAGATGCGCGGCATCTAGGTGATTGATCGCGTTGAGGACTTGGGGTGCGTTGAACGAGGGATTCAGTGGCACCTGTGTAGCTGTTAGCTGCTAGTGCCCATGCTCCTAGCCGGTTGGCTACATACCAGTATCGCTCCCAGTTTAAACAGCGCGTACGTGAGCTTTCCCTGGTCAGCAACTATGCGTCTCCAACATGCTTCCAACATACAGTAGCGAACTCAGCATTGTTCCCTAGACTGACGGCGACTCTTTCCCCCTTCTTCACGCCAAGCTTCTGCAGTCCCCTGGCAAGCCTGTTCGAGTCGCGATCGAGCGCATCGTACGTCAGGTGTATACGTTGATGGTGCGATATGACTCTATATGAGTATTAGCAACGCGTCTCTGGAGCTTGTGTCAGTCGGCACGTACGCGTTCCTGTCACCGTATTGCTTCACAACCTCGTCAAAGTGCTGTGGCACCGTCTTCTCCAGTAATGGCGGCTATCATAACGTCAGTCTCCACCATCACATCATCGGGAAGCTTGGAACATGCCTCATTGGGCCCAATGCTGTATGCTTGTGTGAGTAGACCGCGTCGTGCGCAGTAAGCAGGCCTACGGGACCTTGCAGCACGAGCAAAGAGCGACCGAAGCATCTTCAGACGCGGAATGCATCGGAGGTAAGGAAGGATACACGTGCATCGTGAGATATGCTCGTGTGGAGAAAGCTGGTGTTAGTGAGCTTCGTTCGGAACTGAGCCGCGGGCCAGGTACGAGACTTGCGGGGTAGCTGTGGAGAGCTAGAGACACGCACGCGGTTGACGTCGGATAGCTGTCAGGGGTCTTCGCCCTCCGACTATGGGCTATGCAACGTAGGCGACATCACTAATCTTGGTGCACAGAAGATAACTTTGAACGTTTCCATACATGAGTCTACACAGAAGCAAGGTCTTGAGATAATCCTAAACTCCAAAGAGATCACTCCTGCTACGTCCCAAATGCTACCGCTCAAACTCAAGCACTCTTCTACTCGCATCACTAGCCGACCGGTTCCTAGCCGGCTTGATCTCTTCCCCAGTACCTGCCGGTGACAGTAGGTCCAGCGGTGCTTCCCCCTTTGATGCGCCCACGTCCACCGTCTCGGCACCCTCCAGGAGGTCCAGGTCTTTCGCATCAACCTCCTCATCATCGTCATCGTCTTCTCGTCCGTGTCGAGCTTCCTTGTCCAGCTCCTTTTGCGCTTCGTCGTATCGCCTCCTCACTTCAGTTGCAACGCGCATTCCGTCATTGACGATGTTGTCGAGCATGCCTCGTAGGCCCTTGCCGGGTGGCACAACACCAGCGCCAGCGCCGCCGACCACACCGCCTAGTCCACCACCTCCGCCGCCTTGTCTTCCAGCATTGGCGAAAGTGGTGAGGTTGTGGAAGCTGGATCCCGAGGACAGCGTCTCGTCGGCCAGGCGGAAGGACGATGAGAAGCCGACTTCGAAGAAATTCAGTAGTGCGTCGTCGGCGAGAATGACCATGCGGAAAGTAGGAAGCGTTATGTGAAGAGGCTTGTTCGGGTCAAGCGCAAGGTTTGCCGACTTTGCCTTGTCGTTGCGCTCTGCAACATCTGATTCAGTGGTATGATTTGATGGTGTTGGTGACATTGGGTTCTTTTCAGACTTCTCGAACGTGGTTGCTGTGGCTTTTGGTGTTGATGGCTCAGATCCAAAGTCTATCAGGTCATCTTCTTCGTCATCGCCAATAGCGAAGTTGTCAACCTCTTCTGAGACCTGGTCGACTGCCTTATTTGACTGATTAGAAGGGTGATCGGGGTCTGCGTACTCGAAACAATGCCGAATGAAGGCGGAGACGCTGCTCAGGAACTGTTCGTCGCGACCGATGCGTTCTGAACCTGCCTCCGAGCTTACGTCAAGTGACGAGGCAGCCGGACTTGGGTCGTGGACGCCTCGCCTCGACAGGAAAAGAAGAGCTTCTGAGATTCTCAAGATACCCTCACGATCTACCCTGCCATCGCCGTCGTCATCGTAAAGTTCGAAAAAGTAGCTGATGTTGGACATGATGTCCTTGGTGCCTTTTACGTGCGCGAAGCCAGTGACAACATTCTGTAGCGATAACGAGTCGGTCATGTCTACGTCCCAGCGCCGGAACAAGCGTCGCATGAACTCGTGATCCGCTGGTTCCGGTCCTGTTCCCCACGGCGACATTGGCGGTCGTTTCCTCATACTGTTTCCAAAGTATGAGTGCGGAGACTGAGTACCACTACCCTCAGGTGGCGAGCTCGGTGAGTCAGTAATTGCCCACTTTGCGATACCTGTATTACCGTAAGCATATATAGATAGAAACGATACTGCATGACTTACCAGCCAGGAACTCTCTAAAAGCATCGTAGTCCATCTGGGTAGGGCTGGGTCCAAGTGCCACACGGCCCTTCTCCGCGTTTCCAGATGTACCCATCACAACCTCAGTCGCTTTCATCCTGCTGGCCTTTGCCTTGCGCTCAGCCTCTTGCTGCATGATCTCAGCTCTTTGCTGTCGCTCGTACAACACTGCGTAGAATTTGTCGTACAAGAAGCCAAGGTCATTCACACTCAGCTTCTTGCTATCGGGACCGAGGTTGCGTATTGATGTACGCTTGGCGAAGTTTTCGATGTTCTCAAGTACGGCATCCTTGTGCTTCGCTCGCTGCTCGGAGATGGTGTTCTGTGTGATGCCCGCAAATTCTTTGAACGCGACCACCATGAGCTCTTGGAATCTAGTGACTGCTCGCAGTTTGGGGTTCTCGGACTTCGGGTGGGCAGACTCGTCAAGCCTTGAGAAGTACGACTTCAAGACTGAGATGAAGGTGCCGTCATCTGTAGCGTCGAGTAGTTCCTCGCCATTGATACGCAGGATAGCTAGGCCGATTTGGAAGAGTACCTTGGGGCCTTCGAGGAAGAAAACATCAAGAACGCGGAAAGCAAATATTAGAGGCATAGAGTTGATATAGAGCGAGAGAAACCAAGGTAGAGAAACAACGGACAACTGCACGTCTGATTTGACCAGATGGTCCCATAGTATGGGCATCGTCTTTTCGACGAGCGATTCGAAGACCTTTTGGTCCAGCAAGGTGCCGTACATGGTTTGTGAGTAGTAGCCGGGCAGGAGGCGGTCACACAGCACGGATAGGAGGAAAAAGGCCTGAGTCTCGGACATGTAACTTGTTTCGTTAGACAAAAGCAGCTGTATATCAAGGGGTACACATACATAAGCAATGCTGCGACCACAATGTTCATCGCCTGGCAGTAGCCAACCTCCTCGTTTGTCCAGCTGTATGCCGTCAAGACTCGTCGGAGCCGACCGATTCCCTCTTCGGACTGAAAGCCTGGGTATTCCGGCAGACTCCTGTTGAGGTCCTTCTCAATCTCATCGATCGCTAACGACTCTCGACCGGAGAACTTTGCTAGGGTCTCGGTGTAGAGGTTCGGGTTCTGTAGGCGCAAGAAGAAGGCGCCCGAAGTGAGCTCCCACATCTCGCCTCGTAACCGATTCGGCAGACCGACGCGAATGAGCTTGTGGAAGGTAGGTTGTCGGATGAGAGTTGCGCTTCGGCCGTTATCTGCTGCATGTTAGTGACGTCTTTAAGCACGCTTGGTGGTCATACCTCTAAGATACTCGCGCCATAGCCGTATCTTTGTCGCATCCCTCAGCTTCCGTGCGTTGCCTGGATATTTGAAGATCATGCCTAGGCCGGTATCTGGGTGTTCTCGCGCTTGCTTGCCATCATCTCCGGCCTTCTTCTGCTCGGCGTCTGTGAGAAGATACTCCGAGTAGCATTGCCCCACTACCTTGCGCAGATTGTCTACCTCCTTGACGCCCTCTCTCAGTCCCTTCTTGAGAGCATCGCAAAAGCGTTCGCAGGCCTGTCGCGACCCCGCGAGCTGAATCGTAAGCTTCTGACCAGCAGGCACCTGCGATTTCGAGTCTGGTATGCCGTTCCACGTTGTTATCGCCAGCGCGAACATGTAGCTCTGACTATGCAGCCGCTCCACCCGTCGTATGCCGCATAGCGGTAATGTGAAACCGTTGCCCGCAGGTCCCGCGCCGTGAGTCTGCCCGGTGAAGCTGCTGGAGGAGCTCAGACTGGCAGTATTGGCGAAGCTTGAGCCCTGTGTGGAGAAGCAGAGATACTGCTCGCTCAGGTGCAGCTTTCCGACATAGTGGTTGCCCTGGCTGCGCTCCTTCTCCGATGTGACGTCGCCGGGGCCCCTCGTGGAATGGTGGGGTTGGAGGGTAAGCTCGGCGGTAATCTCTTGGAGGGGGTTCTGCGAGTCGGGGAGGCGGAATTGGTAGCGGAAGAGGGTGGCTTTGGAGGGTCGGCGGTCTGACGATGCGGGAGCGGCTATGGTGTTGAGCGTGGGTTCGATGTACTGCTGCGCCTTCTGCACCAAATTCGAGATGTTGAACATGGCTTCGGGCCGGCCAAAGAAGCAGAGTGAGGGTCGGTTATGCTGTATTGTGTGACTGTTTATGCCACATGACGCGACTAGATTAGCCCTCGTGAAGCGCCTTGGAGGGACTGGAGCTTTATGCAGGGCTGGTGTTGGTGGAGTCGCACGGCCACAAAGAGGCTGAGAAACGGGATGACTAAGACACGCGCTGCAGCTGTATCATGGTCTGCCTAGGACCATGACGCACCCGCCAATTTCAATGACAATGCAAGAGTCAAGTTCACGCGGACAGGAACGGGAGTGGGTCGCGTCTTTTTCAATGATTGATTATCTCATACTATTATCGAAGTTGCCATATCGCCTTCTGTCGCCAGACTGCGCGCAAAATATCACTCCAGCTGGTGGACTTCTTCACTCTATCATACATTCTTGCGCTCTCGCTCACGTTTCTCCACTGTCAGCCCTGGCTTAAGTGCATGTGTAGGCTCCGTCAACTCGGAGATCGGCACCCTGGGTTTGGTCAGTTGTTGCTCATCGGTGCGGCTGAACATCACTTACAGTAACGTAGGAACTCGCGTCACTGGACAAGAAGGTGACGGCACCCATCAAGTCCTCAGGACGTCCCATCTTGCCAACAGGAATGAGAGAAGTCCACTGCTTCTGAAGGTCTGGATTGTCGTCGAGAATCTTCTTGGTGCTACAACTTTGTTAGCATCTGCGCAATCTTCGTCTCTCAGTGTACTTACAGCGCAGTAAGCATGTATCCGGGCGAGATGCAGTTGACACGAATGCCAGCGCCAGCCCACTCAACCGCCAAACTGGAGGCCAGATGTCTGACAGCTGCCTTAGCGGCGTTGTACGGAGCCTGCGGCTGTGGGACGTTGACAATGGCTCCGGACATGCTACCGATCATGACGATGCTGCCCGGTACCTTCCTCTCCATGAGGTGCTTCGCGACTGCCACAGAGTACAGGTAGGTACCGTCAACGTTGACTCCCCAAAGCTTCTGTATGCGGTCATGGGGGTAGGAGATGGCATCGTAGTTCTCCGTGAAGCCAGCCGATGTAACGAGGTTGTCGACCTTGCCGTGCTTCTTCAGGATCTCGGCAAAAGATTGGTTGACAGACGTCGGGCTCGAGACGTCGCAGAAATGTGCTGTGACCTTGGGAATTCTATATTTTGACTTAGTTGAAGTCGTTGGTTCTGCATATGGGTTTCTTACCTCCGAGACCCTGGGTTCTCCTTCTTGAAGATATCGAGCAGGCCCTTGGCAGACCGCTCACCCTCTTCCTTGTTCATGTCGACAATGGCTACATCGGCTCCAGAGGTCACCAAGGCCTGCGCCATGACTAAACCCAGACCTCGGGCTCCACCAGTGACGACAGCGACCTTGCCCTCCATGGAGAACGAAGCCAAAGTGCGCTTGAAGTGCTCACCTCCACGACCCACGACGGGGTTGGAGGGTGGTAGGTCCTTCTCTTCTGGGTACTCGACGACAATGTCGTCTCGGGTACGTGCATACTGACCCTCGTGCTCCCCACTCTCACCAGGCTCGCCCGATGTGGTTGCAGCGTTGACATCGTCCTCGTTGGAGGGGTCCTTGTCGAAGCGACTAGGCGAGGACGTGAAATGTCGCTGTGAGGAGATAGCTGACTGTGCTGGTCTGAAGGTGGCACGGGGAGCTTGGGCTCCGGCCGCGCGTGCGACTTGACGGAAAACCTGAGATCTGAACATGGCTGTAGTAGAAAGCCCAATTCAATTGGACGTCGCAGTTGGTAGAGAGAAGCTCTGGATTATGAGGAGAAGGTAAGCGTCGAGGTAAAGTAGATTATCTGAGGTGATTCTAGAAGGCTCTCGAGTCAATGTGATACGACCCAGGAAGGAAGCAAGCTAGAACAGGGCAAGAAGTGGGAAATGAAGAAGAAGAATCAAGTGAGGTTGGGAGTGAAGCTCACGATGCCCAAGCAGCTGGCAAATAATTTCGGTCCTTCCAAGAGCTTGAGCTTCTCCCCCACCGCGTTTTGTTGACGGACGCCTCTGACGACAGGTCTATGCAGGGCCAGGATTTGGCGAGGCCATCCCGCATGCACTCCCACCTCCGCACACTCCGCACACTGCATCCTGGCCTGTCTGGGTGACTGTCTCCATTAAAATGACACGCCGTCGCGGTTGGCACTCCACTTCTACTCGGGGTTTGACAGTCTTAGTAGCGACCTAGGCCTAATTAGGCCTAGTGGCCACTAGCGTGCAGAGACCCCTGCGGTACTTATTACAGCCTATTAGACTAAGTTTTTTATTCTCTACCCTACTAAACCTCTTTATAAGTAGCTCTAACAATTTCGCCTAATAATTAGCTCTAACAATTATACTACTTAGCCTAATAATTGTAGCTAATTACAACATTTCTAACAATTTCTTAATTTAGCCTACCTTTACCTTATAATTATTTACACTATTCTACCTAACCTAGCTAATTACATTATTTTTAACAATTTTCTAATTTAGCCTACCTTTACCTTGTACCTTTACCTTATAATTATTTATAACATTCTACCTAACCTAGTACACCTCTATTATATAATCTATCTACCTCTACTTTTACTCTTGCTAATTATTTAGAATAATCTATAGTAATAGGTATCTTTTTTTTTATAAACGTAGCTAACAATATTAAAAGCAGACCTTTCTATAACCTATAGCAAATACTTAATTATCTATACTAAAGTAGGCTAGCGCCTTAATTATCTATAATAATTTTAGTAATAGTATCTAGCTCTAAGCTCTCTAAGCCTCTATTATCTTTAGTTAATATTATTTAGAACAAAATTAGACTTAAGCGTAAGTAAGGTAGCTAACTAAAGAAAGATTAAGCTAAATTATATTAGACAATTCTTAAGAAGAAGTAAGTTAGAATATTACCTATATCTATAATTATTACTAACAATATAGTAGGTAGTAGAAGGTGCTTAATAATTATTCTATTTCTAAGAAAGTCTAGTAGAAGAACGCCTAGTATATAAACGTTTACGCTAATTATACTATTATCTCTAATAATTACTAGTAAGATTTAGGCCTAGAATAAGTAGTAGAGACTTAACGTATAGTAAGTCTTTCTACTATAATTATTTAGAACGTTCTAATATTAAAACAGACCTAAGAAGACTAAAGGTATAGAAGGTTTACGCAAAAGAATATAGCGTAAGAAACATTTGTTACTAATAATTTAAATATTGTTTGCACTAATTTAATACTTTATAGATTACTTACCTAAATACTAAACCTGCGTAGTTAGATAGAAGGCTAATTCTAGCAGTAATAAGGTAAACATTCTTAACAATTTACTATATTCTATTATTAATAACGCTTTAGATCTCTATTAGTCTTAATAATATTAATACTTTACTCTATAGTTATCTATAGAAGAAGGCTATAGTTAAGAAATTTCTCTTAATTATAGGTAACAATTTTCTAAACATTCTAAACAATTCTAACATGTAATTAGAAGAAGTATATTTTCTGTACTCTAAATAGTAATTCTACTATAAGTTCTATCTTATTAAACGTTACTAACAATATACTAATTATTCTAGATAATTCTATCTAAGCTACGCTAAGGTTTTAAAAATTTTCTCTTTAACTTTCTCTACCTTAAGTTAAAGCCTGCAAACGTTAGTACTAATTATAGCTTTCTTTCTTAAACGTTACTAATAATTATAGTTGCTCTCTTAAAATAGCTAGTTCTACGCTTACGCTGCTACTACTAAGAAGTATAGAACTAAAATTAGTCTTAATAATAACTTTGTCTAATTTAGTGTCTATAACTAATACTCTCTAGTAAAAAGTACGTACAATAACGTTACAAACAATTAATATAACTAACAACTATTCTCTTCTCTATAATACCTTATTTCTACTTAATTATCTATAATAATCTTTATAATTGTTAGAACTAAAGTAGTAGAAGTTTTACCTAGTAGAGCGCTAGTTAAATTCTACTAATATTTAAAACATTTGCAACAATTACTATAATATATAATTATACTAGTAAAGTCTAATATTTGTAACAATTATAGTAATATATTAACTTGCTAGTAAGCTCTAACGTATATAACGTTTGTAGTAATATAGTAATATATTTACTACTTTAATAGTAAACGTATACAACGTTTGTAGTAATATAAATTTACTATGTTAAGAATATATATATATATAACCTATATAGTAATATATTTACTACCTTAATAAGAAACGTATACAACGTTTGTAGTAATAAGTATTTACTACTTTAAAGATTAATGTATATAATATTTGTAGTAATAAATTTACTACCTTAATAGTAAATGTATACAGCGTTAATAGGTAAGCGTTTACTATATATAAAATATATAATATATTTAATATTACACTATTAAGAACGTTAATAAAGAAAAGAGTAGTATTATATTATTATTATTAGCGTTAAGCGCAAAGACATGTTTAACTACATTACTAACATAATTATTCTAGACAAGGTAATAGGTCTATATACTTATTCTACCTTATACTTAGATTATTATTTACACTAATAAGATACTTTACAATTATTATTAACGTAAACTCTATTAACTACCTACTCTATTTATATATACGTTTTAGTTGCTAACATTTATTAAGTAAGAAATACTAAACACTACCTTAACAAAATAAGTAGCTAGAGTAGTAGCTACTATTAACGTTAATATTAATAAGATAGTTATAGAAGTTCTTAATAAACGCTGTTACTATCTTGTAATACGTTAGCAACGTTACTTTTTAAACAATACTAACGTATATACTTATAATTACCTTTATATCTTATAGTTTAGAACAATTAAGAGCGTTAAATTGTTAAAAAAGATAGCTAGCCTAAATTCCTAAGATTACTAGCTACTTAAGCAATAGGTCTAGAATTAAGAGATAACGTTTACGCTAATTAATGTAAAGAACAAATAGCTTAATCTCTATATACTAGACGTTAATAGAAGTAATTATATAGAGTAATAGTATAAACTTCTATTCTAGTGTGTTTTATAGAAGAGAAGAGTAAGCTTAATTATTCTCTTCTTTTTGTTAACAATCTGCAGCATCTATAGCTTAATTTGTAGATACTCTTTAAGCTATAGAAGGTATTAGAACAATATTATATATACTAGGTGCATTATTAATTATTAATAATATTATGCCTAAACAATATAACTACGCTTATTAAGTAGTAATTATTAAGAAAAAGCTTTTTTGTTATAACTACCTAGAAATCTAGTCTAGGTATTATTCTACATATTTTGCAAATCTTTCTTCTTAACTACGTAGGCACTCTTAGCCGCTTTACCTACTTATACCTAAACGTTATTAATAATACTCTCTAAGAATGTTAGAAAATATACCTTTTAACGTTTAATACTCTTTATTAACGTTAACACTATTATAGAATAGAATAGATTTCTAGTATATTTTCTATTCTTCCTCTCTTTCTACTTGCTTATACTGCGCTTCTTTTAATACCTATAGTACTAGCTAATTATTACTCTTATCTTTTAGGCATAAGAGAATAATTAACTACCTTGCGTATTAGTATCTAGCTTATCTCTAATTACCTTAGACGTTACTAAAGCAGCTCTTAAAGCTAGAGCAGAGTCTTTGTACGTAGAGAACATAACAGAATAGGCTAAAGAACGTTAATAATAATAGGACTAGCCTTTTTCTTTTATTACTAATAATGTAGTATTACATAACTTCTATATCTAGAGAGTAATAAGCTTTAGCATCTAAGAACTAGAATTGTTAAGCTTACGCTCTAAACCTAGACGTTTTACCTTAATCTATTATTTAAAACGTTTCTACTATCTTAGACTTATTATTAACGCTAATAACTACCTTATATAATTATTACTAACGCACTCTTTATAAGCTCTAATTATAGATTAAGTATAAGACTACTTTATAGTTATCTCTAATAATTAAAGCTTCTTCTTTGTAAACACTAATTTCTGCTTAACTTGTTTAAGCTTATCTTAGTGCTTAGTAGCAACGTTAATCTTATAGCTAAGATTATCTTAGTTAATAGTATTAAGATTATTATTATTCTCTAGCTTATTATCTCTAGCGCTCTAGCTAAGAGTAATTATGTTTAACACCTCTTTAGGTAAGTTAAATGTTACTATCTTCTTCTTACGTAGTAGTATTATAGAGTATAATAATAATAAGCATAGAGTATAATAGTTATAGAGTAAAGATATCTTTATACTTATAAACGTAGTATATGTTCTAAATACTGCAAGAAGTAGAGTAGCAGAGTCTATATATATAACTAGGCAAGACCTTTCTAGTGCGTCTCTAATAATTCTGCCTTACTAATTATTATCTACTATAAATCTAGCCTACTTACTATTATTAATAATAAACATAACAACGTAATAAATAGCAAGACACTACCTTAACCTACTAATATTCTACTCTATTTACTCTTAATAATTATCTAATATAGTCTATAACACTTTAAAGTAGAAGGCATCTAAATAAATTTAGTACTTCTAAGAGCGTAGTGCTCTTAGTGTACTAAACACCTATAACGTTTCTACTACTAAAGACTAAGAGTTAGTGTTATATACGCAAGTGTTGTTATTATAGATATAGAAGTATAAAGCTAATAGATTTAGAACATCTATATAGATAAGAGAGGTAGCTAAGAAAGTAGTAATTAAGCAGGCGTATTAAAAACAACAACGTGCTTTCTAGCAAGAACGTAGCTAACAATTATAGCTAGCTCTAATACGTTAGAGACGTACTAAAGACCTAGATATCTATAGACTAGAAGATCTCTCTATCTATACGCTCTAACGTCTATAATACACTCTACTACTACTAGCCTATAACGTTAGCAACGTAGTAGCACTAACGTTACTACTATTATAATATTACTAGACACCTATACCTCTGTAAGTTAACCTATATAACTAGTCTCTCTCTACACTTATTAAGAATGTTTAGCTACTCTCTAGTATAGACACTACCTACCTCTATATCTACTAGCACTATAATATTATATATAATATATAGTACGCTATAGCTATACTACTAACGTCTAGAGAAATAAAAGAAATAGTATATAGTTATTCTTAATAAGAGAATATATAAAGCTATATTAATAATACTACCTAACTAAGTAATATTATTATAGGCGCTTACTAGAGAGAAGAGATAAGAACTATTAATATTAGAGGCGTTACTATAACGTTTAGCAAGAAAGATATCTAGATCTCTCTACTAATTATAAAGCTACTAATCTACAATCTTAAAGCTATGTAGAATAATCTAAAGAGAGCGCTTATAATAATTAAGAGCTAGCCTCTACCTCTCTTCTTATAGCCTCTTATATATAGTAGTAGTTTTGCCTCTAAAACATAGAATACGTATAAATAAAACTACTATTAGTATAAGGTATATCTAAGATAATACTCTATATTACCTTTGCTAATCTATATTATTATAGACGTATATAGATAAGGTAAAAGACTTAGGTTAAGAGTAGGTATACAAGATATATAGTATGCAAGATAAATATAGCAAGATTGTTTAAGACATTAGAGAATAGCTATAGATACCTATATTAAAGCTTCTATTAGCACTAATTAAGAAAAGAAGAGTAGATATTAACTAGAATAATACTAACGTAGTAAAGAAGTAGCTTAGCAGCGTTAAGTATAATAACCTTATATTATATAGTAAGAGTAGAATAAGATTAAGAAGTACACATATACTAACAATAGCTAAGAAGTATTAGAAACGTTAAAAACAACCTTAACTATAAGATATAGATGCTAAGAACGTAGTAAAGAATAGTTAGATTATAGATAGCGTTGCTGCAATTATTTCTAAAGATTACCTATTAGCGCTAAGCCTATATTAAGAAAAGTCTACGTATCTAGAACGTTAATATACTCTTAAAACGTTAGCACTATAACGTTTTAGGTAATAAAATAGTCTAAACTATAATTCTATACGTTAAAGACTATTAAATTTGCGTTTAAAATAAGCTTCTAACGTTTTTATATATAAATTTAGCTCTTTAGAAAGACTACGTTATTCTAAGGTTTAATAGTCTCTTTATATATATATAAAATTGTAGAAGAGCCTATAGATAATATTATTATTATATATATATTGTATAGAATAATATTTATAGGCAATTATTTTATAGAAAAGGTAAAAAACAACGTCTAAAATGCGCTAAAAGTGCTCTAATATAGCCTAGAACGTTAAAAAAATTATGCGTAATATAAGAATAGTACTATAACATCTATAATAATATATTATTTCTATGTACAAGCGTTAGTAATAATACTATATTCTATACTGCAATTATTAGCAATAATGCAAGACCGCTAGTAAACTTTAGTAAGGTAGGCTGTGCGTTAGGTTATGCGTTAGGGGCGATTTTAGCGCGAAAACAGTCTAACTGTTAAACTTGGGGTTAGGAGCTCTACTTCCAGAGCGCTCAGTGGAGCCGCCCTAGCCGTTTGTCCTCTCCGCACTACCGCAGCTCAGCAAATCCTGACCGCCTGCTACCCCACGCTGCAGCCACTTGCCTGCCACCAGACGCGTCCACGGGTGCACCACCACCCTCCCCGTGCATGCCCTTACCTGTACTGTAGACGTCTTACGTGTGTTGTTAATTCCAGCAATAACTCTGTTCGTACCTTCCAAGCCCTCATTTGCACCTTCCCCGCCCTCGTCATCCCTGGTGCCACATCGTGATCGCCCTCAACAAGCCGGAATTGTGCTGACCGACGCGTCTGCAGCGACACGCCAGCATCGTGATCCATCATGTTTGAACTCTACCTCCTTACCTTCAATGCGGCGCGCAACCTCGTCGATCCCCAGTCCCTCGCGCCTTCCTTCTTCGACGCCCTCCCCAAAGACACGCCTCTGCCCGACATCGTCGCCATATCCCTGCAGGAGGTTGCGCCCATCGCCTACTCGTTCCTCGGAGGCTCCTATCTGAAGCCCTACTTTGACCGCGTGACCACGACCGTCCAGCTTGCCGCCGACCTCCGCAGCAATGGCAGCGACTCACTCGAGCACATTGCGACGCGCAGCCTGGGCATGACGGCCCTGATGCTCTTCGCCAAACCCCACGTCGTACAGAGGATACAATGGATACAGTCGGCAGGCGCAGGTGTCGGCTTCTCCAACATGGGCAACAAGGGCGCCGTCGCCATGCGCGTCGGCTTCTCGTGCCCCGACTCTGAAGATACCCTCGATCTTACCTTTGCGGCCGCCCATCTTGCGCCCATGGAGAGCAATATCGACGCGCGGAACAAAGACTGGGAGAATCTGGTGCGGAACCTGGTCTTTGTCAACAACGATGACTCCCCGTACAGCTCGAGCGAAGAGCGACCGCTGCTTGGCCCCTCGTCTGAGACACCAGCCGACCACAACGGTCTCTTTACGCCTGGCAACCACGTCTTCTTCTACGGCGACTTGAACTACCGCACCCACGATAGCCCACCAGAAGACGGAGCGCATCAAACCTATCCGCAGCCGACAGCGTCCGAATCTTCGCCAACACACTACTCACATCTGCTGAAGAAGGACCAATTGATGAGAGAAAAGGACGCTAAGCGCACCCTGCATGGCTTCCAAGAAATGCCCATCAATTTTCCGCCTACATACAAGTACGCTACCTCACATGGCAAGAACTCCAACGCGCCCAAGCGATCTGGGGAGGATGAATCTTGGGAGTGGTCGAAGCATCGATACCCATCATGGTGTGACCGGATCCTCTACCTCCCATCCGGATCTTCGTCAGATCTTGAACCGCAAATCTACACTGCCTTGCCCGTACAGCCGACATCCGACCATCGACCGGTGGCTCTATCTGTGCGCGTCGATGACAAGCCTATTAAGATGGGCGTGAACGACGTTCTTTCCAGGCCACCCTTTGAGGTCAACCCACAGTGGAAAGCCAGGAGAGACGCAGCTCGACGGTGGGAGCTTATCGTGGGCGTCATGTCGTATCTCGCTCTGACCGGCAAGGGCAGGATCATTCTCATCACCTTCCTGGGTGTGGTCATTGGCAGTCTGTTCCTTGCTGGGTCATTGACCAGGTAATCTTGTGGACGACCACATTCTCCTATGGAATTAATTTATTTCTCCTGCGTAATGGTTCCATCTCCAGTTCCACTGGTCTTGGAGATGCTCGACCGACGTGCGTGTCGGCATGCCTGTGGCCTGCACCTCTTCTAAAAACTCGATCATCTTGCATCGGTCCTGATCATCCTGCAGTACGGTGCCAAACTTATGTACTGTATACGCGGCGTCCCATTGCGCAGAAATACAATGAGCGTTGCACCGAGCGATAGCTATCATCTCTCTCAAACCTCTCAAGACTTCATCATGTACGCCATGCATATTCGTCCCTGGATTGTAGACCGCGAGTGCAATGCGACATATTCGCAGCTGTTGGTTCGCCTCCGCTGTCGCCTGTTAGCAAACAGTCCGTGAGCTGACGACTAATTGGACTCACCATGACAAGCGCCAGAGAACCACAATTCCGGATATCCTCCAACGGCATGTGGGTTGCCTTCCTGGTAAAAGAAGGCATCGAAGCTTGCGGGTCGCCTTCTTTCCCACTCATCGACCAAACTGTGAAGATACTGCCACTCGGCCATCGTCCGCACGCTCTTTTGCGCCCACTGCAAGATGCGCGCAGTCAGCCATAATATTCGATTTCCCCACGAGACTTCATCGATTGGCGATATTAGAGCTGGCAGAATGAAGTTTTCATAATTAATGCGCAGAGTGGGTTGGTTGAGCAATGCTTGGCTGACCTCGGTATGCACATGGAGTACCAGAGCAGCTTGTACAACCGGGCTAGACATATCGAAGACCCAGCCTTCAGGACCATAGAAAAGTTCAAACGTCGAGAGATGTGATTGTCCTTGTGTACCCGCTATTTGAATGTCAGCTGATCTCCGCGCAATTCCTCGTCTTCACGTACCATGGAAGTCCTCAAAGTTTCGCAGCAGCATGGCGGCCACCAGCGTCGCCTCATCTTCAATTTGTCCCTTCCCGGCGATATACGGGATGAGATTCTGCAATATTCTCTCATGGTAGTCGTACGGTCTGGTGGGGAAATACGGATCGAAGCGCAGTATACACTGTCCGGAAATCATGAAGATGGCGTTCATGAGCATCGGGCTTGTCAAAGCGAGCTTTGGGACGATATTCTTGAAGATGCTAGCAGGACTCATTATGTCTAGTGCGTCTGATGCTTTCTCTACCCAGAACCGAAAAAGATATGCTTCGATTGGGTCAGGTATCGGCCATGTTACCGGTGAAGCATGGTTCGTTGGAACGAATGGATGTGGCGAGGGGATATCAGAGTTCCAAGTCCCCGGCAGGGGCTCGTCAAGGCTGGAGAGACTTGAGACTGAGCCAGGTGCCGGGCTTGTGTGTCGCCGGATATGCGACGGAAGCTGCCATAGGTCAGGCGTTGTCTGTGGTGCTGCGGGTATGAGCACTCGATCATTCCAGCTTCGACTCGTCGGGCGCATGTTTCGCTCTCTTCCTTGCGGACTCTTCCTCGATACCGACTGTGGTATCTTCTCAGCCGTCCTGGAGCGAACCAGATGTCTTGGTGTCTTCCTTTTATCAGCACTTCCGGGGCCCTCGAACTCTTCAGCTATGAGTGACGATTCGTCGACAAAGTCCACTACAAGACAGTCATTAGCATCGACTCAATAAGACCACCACATGACTTGTACCTACATGTTCCTGGCGTACCAACCCATCTCTGCGCCGCACCAAAGAAGTAGTCGTACTTCTTGATGTCGGCCCTGGTAGCCTGACTTTCCAAATCAGGATACACACCATGTCGAAAGCGGACTTTGTAATTGGCCTTCCTTCGCGGGGCGGACTCTGACCAAGACGCCGACATGCTTCTGGAAGGAAGAGCTTATCCACAAAGCTTAATATCTTGGCAACTTCACTGTACCTGTAATCAAAGTTGAAACAAGACCTCGATATCCGATCTTGGCAAGTACCTCACTTCCAAACTGGAAAGAAGCAAGCGGGAAGCAGGAAAGAGGAAAGCTGATGCTACTCTCCATCAACAAACAGGAACTATCGCCGCTTCAAATGGGGATATGTACTCCATATCACAACGCCATGAACTGCACGGAGAGATCCACGCGTCACAATCCGTCTTGCTGATCATTTACCTACGTGCGTCTAGCCAGCACGCTATTTGCTCTTCTCATCGCCCATCCCGCGATTATTCAGCGGAGGAGCGGTATGGGAAAGCACAGGGCGCGTGAGGCTTGTAGGTGCTTGGTGTGGCATTTGATAAGCAGGATTTATTTACGTACGCGATGTTTGATGGGGGATTTGGCAGCGGACATGGGGAAGGGTGGGTATGCGAGTACGGGTAGATACGGGGTGGCTCAACGGGAGGACGTCGGGTGTTGGGGTGCACGAAATGCTTGCCTGTTTGGGAGTCGCTGAGGTAGGGGATGGAGCGTGATGGTAGTGGGTAGACGTTGTGGCTGGCTGGTAGACCGACTCAGCCTTCGCTAGCCACTGTATTGGAAGCGGGTGATTGGATCATGGACTAGGGTTGTGGTTAAAGACGTGCATGATATTTCATCCCACCGCAAACCTCTACGTGCACCAGGCTACTACTAGTCCTTTCATCACGAGCCTATGCCTTACACTGACAGCCAACTAAGCTTTCCTCACACGGGTAGGGCTGCATGCACCTCGAGCCTCCTCCTTCTAGAAACAATCACTCCCGCACCACAAGACGTGGTTGAGTAAGCACATCGCTGGGCAGCCATAGGTTCATCGGACCGTGTTACTGCGTAGCTGTATAAGCTGCATCGTTCGATATTGCAACGACTGGTGGTGTGCGGCTTATCCAGCTCGTCATGCATACCCTATTCAGCTCACTTGTCCTACTGTCGCGCTTCCACGTGACGCCTTTCCGGTCCGGGTAGCGATATCGGTAGTTCGTGAGAGATTTTGTCAGCGGGGATATTCTGGGGAGTCATACTCTCAAGAATAGTTGGTAGTGGTTGACACGAGGAGGTGTGACTCAGGTGTCTTGTACTACGTTGTGCGCGGGTTCTATAGGTGAGTCCCACAACGGTCGTTGAGGCTTTGCTAGTTGGTGGCTTGAATGAAGTGATTACGCAGCTTCTTCACCGAGTGAAATCCGGAATTGTTGCGCGTGAAGACGAGATGATTTTTAAGAGTGCGGACTGGACGGCGATCACTCATCTTCATTGAGGTAGATCAGGCGGATGGTAGTGTGCACATTGTATTCGATGACACCTGCTCTTTCCTCAGATGGTGCCTACCCAGACAGCCCGAGGTGGAATGTGAATATCAAAAGACGTGACTACTAGACTCAAGACTCCAATGATAGATGAACTGCACAAACAGTAGGTAGAGCATCGGCACGACCGAGTCTGAAGTTCCAGACTTCTCACGATGGTGGAGACAGGCTCAGCTTTTCCAACGGCATGACGTAGGAAAACAAGCGTCTTTCCTTCCCGAAAAGCCACGTCTCGCGCTTATGCTCAGCTAGCAACTCACTGGTTTTATGGACCCTCGAGTCGATGGCACTAATATCTTTCTTCGCTTTCGCTTGTCACCGCACTTATCGAGTGCCGGTAGTGAAGGTCCGAGCCTCGGGTCATCGACTCCGATAGGCTGTCAAGAGACGAGAGCAAAAGGAAGTGCAAGTGGAAGCTCCATCGCTGTCACGATCACGATGCTAAAATTGGGCGCGAAGGATTCTGTTGATCAACATCATAGCTTCGACGTCCACGATGCAGCTTTGACATGCGCCAGGTTTGGCGAGCAGGAAGATCGAAGACGTAGCATGTTGGGTTCCGCAAGAGCCAACATTGATGCCCTGTAGAAGTGCTGGGGGTGGTGTAACTGCAGCAAGGCGCATGCAAACATCGGCGCGACTACACCTGGGCAACAACAGCGACAACAACAACACACTTTACGGCTGTTTGATGCAGCCTTCGGCGAAACAATGGGCACAAGTGCATGAACCCGGGCATGGGAATGCGAAAATGCCATGCATCGCAACCACCATGCACGAGTCTATTGGCCTCGGCACCATTTTGCCGTCACCTGAGGTCCAGACCTTTCGTTGTGCGAGGTTGGTTCCCGCGGCAGCATGTCGGAAAGCAGACATCGTCAAAGTTTAATCAAAAGAAAACGACATGACAAACACCGAAAAGAAGCCTCTCGCAACCTCTCCGCGCCTACGAGTGGACTCCGTGGAGGACCCGCTTGCCTCGGAGCTGAAACGCACGTCTGCGCACATGCGAGAAACGAAGCAGGACGTGGTGAGGAAGCGCGACTGACGTCACAGTGCAGCGGCCACCAAAGGCGCGCTGCACCACCTGCCCGTCCAAGCGAGCCGATCCCCAGCACAACGTTCGATCGATACCGACTTCTAGGCCCTGCCTACTACTCCGTGCGCCGGTGGTCTGGATTCCTACAAAGAGTGGGCTTTTTAGCCTGCGTCCCCCAGCTACGGGACATCACGGACGTATTCTGTATAGAGGCTATAGGGAATAAGGAAATAGAGCGACGTTTTGTACGGAAATATGGACCCGTGATTGCCGTGAAAGGAGAGAAAGGGATCGGGCCTTGAAGCTTCAAGGCTCGTGGTTGTGGGTTTTGCGTGATGGGCGGATGGATGAGGGTGAGATCTGGACTGGACTGTGGGGCTAGGAGTAAGTCTTGTCTTACGTATTGTGGCAGGTGTGATGCCGACAGGGTGCTCTGCGCATGGAAAGAATCACGAGTGCATGAGGAGATGCAGGTGAGGTAATTTGGGTTTGATTGTTGTGGTGGGAGTTTGTCAAGTCCTCCGAGGGAAACTCTGCCTAGCGCTCCGCCTCTTGCATGCCCTGCCAAACGCCTGCAGTGGTCCTTCAAAGCGATGAAAAAATGAAAATGGTATATCATACAACTGAAAGAAAAGATCGCTCCGTGTAAATGCTAAACCGATGTGCTCCAATAAAGTTTCCCAAATCGCAAAGTCGAAGCTGAAGAGTGTTGCCTGCACACTGTGCCGCTAAGTCGCTGATGTTTGAATGATTCGTCGAATGTCATGAGGGTGAACGCCTAGGGTCCGGCGGTTATTGCGCCCTTGTCGACGATGATTGAGAGTTCAGTTGTGACAGCGATGCGAATGAGTTGGTCATTGCTGAGTAGGCAGCTGATGGTAGACCGTTGGTGGATGATGTGGATGAGGCGCTGTTGCTGCGGACTTGGAGGTTGAGTGTGTGGCAGCTATCGCATCGTCCGTTCATGCGGTTGCAGCGACCCCGGCATCCTCGCTCGTAGTTGGCGCAAGAGAACATTGTGGATTCGTGTTGTTGAGGTTGGTTGGATGTTGGTTGTTGTCGTTGAGTAGTAGAGTGATAGAGTAGTTGTGGTGGTGTAGCTGTGTGCGACTTGCGATCGAGAGACTTTGTAGTGTGCTGGATTTAGATAATCCTGAAGCCGAGGGCAGACTTCGTAATATATGCGCCGGTGGGTTGTGAATGCCCGATGATGTAGCCAGCAAATGCAAGATATGCAGGGTAGTAATTGCGTATTCGGGCGTTAAAGTAGCCGTAATCGATGGGGTCCGTTGGCGTGTCTTGGTAGCGTGCGGATGGGTCCAATAATAGTGTGATGGAGTGCCGAATGGAGTTAATGTGAAGATGCCCAAGTTCTGCAGATGCACGATGCGTGGCTTATAGCTATGAAGCGCAGATTAGACAGATGGCTGACAGGTTTCAAAAACTTGGAAGAGATAGGTGGAAGATCAGCTGTGACGATGGAGGCCGCAACTTCTTATGACAGTTGACGCGTCCAGAAGATGTGTGTGTCATGGTAGATTATACAGTGGAGAGACCCGAGGCCAGAATGTCGGCGGTCAGTGCGCTCTTACTCAATGGCCAGGGTCTCCTCTTACGCATGCACGAGACCCTGCCCTGGTTGTCCATCGACCAAGTTAGCGCCAAAACCTTGATTTTTCGCTCTCCCGTCCATTCCGGCACTTCGCAGTCGCCTGCATACCTCATACGTACTCGGTGACGCTCAGCCACCACGGCGGTTGTTCAGGAGACCACCAGCAGGTTGTTGCACGAATTCGCATCCATGTGGACACACGACTAATCATTCAAACAGCCAAGTTGACTTTACAGGGACAGGCACAGTAGAACCTCGTTTCAAACAAATTCTGGAAAGCGGCTTAAAGTG